TAGGCGTGAGCCACTGTGTCCAGCTGGGGCACCATCCTTAACATGACTCACTCACCTACTCTTTGCTTGCCTGCTTTATTCTATAGACTCCGGCTTGTAACCTTCTTTCCTTCATCTTCATCTAACGGCATTCTTTCAGGGTCAGCTCCCACTAACTGCCTCATTCAAGAGAATGACTGGCCAAGCTGTTTTCTACCACTCGCAACGTCGTAATGGTTTCAGCCCTAGCTGGGGCTGCAAGCAAGAGTCATATGTGTATGGAGGGTGGGGAGGGGGCTGAGAATAGGGATACAATGGCTGGGGGTATTCCCACCTAATAAAGGGCGGTGGGCATATTCAGGCTTTTGCTGTGGCCTGAATATGTCCTCCAAAAATTCATGTTGGAAACTCAGTCCCCAATGCAACAGAGGTGGGTCCTTATGGGCAGAGCCCTCCTGAGTGAACCGGGTCATTTAAAAAGGCATCCCAAGATGGGCCCACCCTTTCTGCTTCTGCCATGTAAGGATGCAGCAAGAAGGGCCTTGCCAGATGCCCGTGCCTTGATCTTGGACTTCCCAGACTCCAGAACTGTGAGAAGCATTCTTCTTTCCTTAATAAAATACCCAATCTCAGGTATTACAGCAGCACAGAATAGACTAAAACTGCTGTCCAGGACACGTAAGAAATGGGCCACAATGGCTGGGTTTGGTGGCTCACACCTGTAATCCCAGCACTTTGGGAGGCAGAGGCGAGAGGACTGTCTAAGCCCACAGGTTCGAGACCAGCCTGGGCAGTACGGTGAGACCTCATCTTAGCTGAGCATGGTGGTGCACACCTGTCGTTCCAGCTACTTGGAAGGCTGAGGGGGATGGATTGCCTGAGCCCAGCAAGTAAAGGCTGCAGTGGCCATGAGCATGCCCCTGCACTCCATCCTGGGCGACAGAATGAGACTCCTACTCAAAAAAGAAAAAACAAGAAAGAGATGGGCCACAATACGGAGAGCCTTAAATTCCAGAGCAGGAGAATCTGTTCCTGTGTAATAGTGACTGTAGAAGTCACACACACCCTCCCATTCTGTCTGCTTTGCAAGATGGCTTTTGGGTGTGACCTAGGCATTGTTTTCTTTCCAGTAATTAAAAGACGACAACCTCAGCAGGCAGCTTTCACATAGCCTAGAGGCAGATCCCAAGTAGAGGATAAGATTGTCAATGTGAAAACTCCCTATCACTCAGCAGTAAGATCTTTAATCTAACTGGTTCCCCCAACCCAACTAAAAATATGTTGTCTAAGGGCACAATATCCACCCCAGGTGTATCCTCAGGCAAATGAGAGTGGGCCCATGCTATGAGGTCAAGTGCTTGTAAGTGCTTTTTGTTGCTGAACAACACAAAGGACAAAAAAGACAATAAAGATATTTTTAGTGAAGGTGAAAAAAATTAGGAGTGGGCTGTTTTAGTATTAAGTAGCCAAATTCAAGAAATAAGACAAAAATGTTTCTGTGCTCTGGCCAACTCTCCTTGTGAAATTCTTAAAGACAGGAAGGCACAAACTAGTCCTCTCACAACCATAACGAACTAGGACTATTACAACATATTCATCTGCAAGTAGATGGTAAACTACAAAAACTATTTAAGTATTAGCGATTCATATCCATTCAACAGACACCTACTAAACACAGGATGGGTCCTCGAGGGATGTCTAATAAACAGTGATAAATTATATCCAATAAGAGAAACTTCCATTTGATTTCTCTGGGAGTATGCAGCCCTCCTAACTTCAAAATGTCCCTTTGAAAGCAAGGATTCATCATCTGAAGTAACTCCCTCTCTCCCTGCTATCATTCACCGACATTTTCTACAAATTAATCATTTTAGCATCAGACCAAGTTTTCAAAATTTTTATCTAATTATTTTCTCCCTCACCAAGTTGCCAAGTGACTCTTTATTCCAGATAAAGTAAATGGCTAAATCAATGTATGGCTCACATAAATTGAGCCAGGCAGCTATCAGTAACTCCGAAGGGGTGTATAAAAAATGAGACACTAGAAGTCCCTTCGTGTTAACATTTTATTTAAACCAGTACAAGCACCATGCTTAACGAAAGACTGTCCAAAATAAACATGCAGTATGAACTAGCAGAGACTGAAACCACGGCTTGATATGTTGTGCCAGTTGTTGGTTTTGTTAAACGATGACAGAGAACTGTTAAAATTCACAAGACTAAACCATTAATGTTTCAAGCCTCCTGAATGAGATTACATTGGACCATCTAACTCAGTGGGAACTTCCCTGGCATGTTAATGATCTCAAACAATATTCAAGTAATCATGTGTGTATGAATTATAGTCCAAAAAAACAAGAAAATACACTTTCTATTACAATGTAGTTGCTTTACACATTACAGGAATATGACCATTGGTTGAAATGTTAAATGGCATAACAGAAAACACATTTCTCAAGAATATTCAACTTGGGACCATTGATTTTCAGTGGCCTAGAAGATTATTACATTCTTCCAGAAGTATAAAATAAGATTTGTCTAGAAATGTTTGAAACACATCCTCACATAAGGTGTAAAGGTCCAAGCTCTAGACCCCAGTATGATCAGGTTACTGAACAATAGAGAAAGCAGCACTAGGAATATCTAAATTGAGAGTATGGAGTTACTCTCTACTTCCACCAAACATCAGCTTTTAAACTCTTATGAAAATATCTATCCATCACTAGTCCACATATGGATTAATGACATCACTCGGGTTTTAAAAGTAGTCCAAACATTTTTTCAGTACACCTTCCTAATATCTCTATGGGTGGGGGAAAAACAGCCAAATTTTTTGGCAATAAACTCCCCTAACTGGAGACTTTTAGTTAAAAGTGTCAGACAAGGATACAGTTTATGACTACACTTGACTCCTGAAAATAGGAGATAGAGGGAAATGTGTTGAGAGACATCTTGCCACACAAATTATTTAGCAATGACAATAAAAAATTTAGCAACACCGTCTTAAACAAGAGCATGTTTAACTGTACTAGGCATTAGTAAACTTTTTAGAAATAGACGATTCGAACATTTTAGAAGTCAATTGAACAAAAAGCCAGTCAACCAACTTTTTTCCTAACATAATTAGTGACTACTAGTCAAAACTCAGACATTTTGGAATTTCAGCATAATAACCTGAGAACAGTTTTCTTCATGTCATTTACGTTGCCACAAAAACCATACTAAATAATACTGTGATTACCAGTTGGTTCTACTTTGACATTAGATGCTATGCAGAATTTATGGAAGGCCAACTATTTCAAAATTAACGCTGAAGGAAGGTCCCAGGAAAAGCACTGCTGCCAAAAAGGAAAGATTAAGATTTAAGGCTGAATAGGAATGGCTGTACCAGAAAGATAAGGAATGTAAAAGCGGGAATTATGAAATCTTGAGTTACTATTAGAGGTATGACAGAAAAAAAGAGACTATATAGGAAATATGCTTGAAAAGAACAATGCAAAATTTAGTCAGATGAAAGGGAAATCTACAAAAATGTTTGAGAACATTTTAGAGCACAGGATTTATAAATCTCCCTATAGGACAGAGGGAATAAAAATGTTCTACTGAGCTTCTAACCTCAATCTGTTGTCTTGCAGAATATATATTATTGATAAGGAGTCAGACAAGTTCAAAAACTGCATGGTTTATCACACCTCTACACCTCCATTAGAGCACAGGGGAACTAAGAGTTCTATGTATGGCAGGTCAACATCATCTGACATTATGGAGGACTTCCAAATTAAAAAAAACAACTAAACTAAAACATGCAAAACAAATGAGGAATCTTATTTAAAAATACATTCTTGCAGCACTAGTTGGTTTCTCTTATTGCTGCGAACCATGGGAAACAAAAATCTCATTTCCTTCATTCAAAAACATTAAAAACACTGTTCACTCACTTGGATTACATTTTCATTTCTACAGAATTATAAGCAAGTTATTGTCCAACATCAAAATACCTGTTTAAAGAAGTCAAACTTCCTGGGTGAGTTTTGTCTCTCTGGAAATTTGAATAAACAATCTTTGCCATTCAGTAACCAAAACAAATACCTACTCTAGCACTTCCTCACCTCCAACTAACTTCCTACTGCTTCCTGACTTCTAAATTAATGAAGTCAAACAGTGTTGGGAACAAAAGATGCTCTATTCATATTGTGAAAACTCCAACTACCTTTATCTCTGTATTGGAGTTGGCACAGAAATCTCAAAAATAAAACGTAAAGAACATATGAATGGAAAATATGCCAACATAAAAAACTGCCTTTGCTAGTTTTGAAATAACTAAGATATTCTTAATATAAGAATTCACTCACCAGCCTTGGTTAGTCTTTGGAGTGTCTAGAACTATCAATAATTTAATGTTAAAGTTACTTGTATATTTGTTTTATAAAGTATGCCAAATAGCCGGGCTCAGTGGCTCAGCCTGTAATCCCGCGCCTTTGGGAGGCTGAGGTGAGTGGATTGCCTGAGCCCGCGGGTTCGAGACCCGCCTGGGCAGCGAGACCTCATCTCTACAATAAATTAAAAAATCAGCTGGGTGTGGTAGCGCATGCCTGTAATTCCGGCTACTCCGGCTACTCGGAAGGCTGAGGTGGAAGGATCGCCGGAGCCCAGCAGGCGAGGCTGCGGTGGCTGGGAGTGGCCACTGCACTCCAGTCTGGACAACCAAGTGAGACTCCAACTCAAAAAAAAAAAAGAAAAAAAAAAAAAGTATGCCAAATATTAGAATCCCTGGCTTATGCCAAAGTTCCATCATCTAACAAGACTGGATTAAGTAACTAATCAGGTGTCCTGTTTAGAATATGTTCTGAAATTTAGGATGTAAGATGCAATTTCTACTGATGTGTTCATGTTATCAACTATGGCTAAAATTTTAAGATAAATAATTTTTTCCTATGGCACAAAATTAATCACAAGTATACCCCAAATTATATATTTATAATTCTCTCAACTGCCATATATTTACCAATGCAAGCAGATAGTTGGAATTTTTTAAATATGAACTTGATTTTATACAAATTTCAGATACACACATTAGAAAATTGTTTTACTTGGACCCTTTAAAAAAGTATTAATTTCACAAAATCTGGAATACTGGCAGTGTAAAAGTCTTAAAATAACTAAAGTTAACAAATCAAAGGCACAGCATTAACACATTTAAAATAATTAGTGTTCACTGGACATTAAGAAATGCTTTATAAGCCAAGTGTTATTAACCTAGATTAAAACTATCTAGAAATGACACAATAGGAATGAAGCCCTTCATTATTACAACCCACCAATTTCTAGGGCTAAAATGGTATTTTCCATAAGAAGAAAAGCTAACAGTCATAATTCTTTCATAAAATCTAATTCCCAGACTTTAAGATTGAGTGATTGAACATGGTTTTCTAAACTTGATTAAAAAGATACAGGAAATCAAAGATACGGAATTGATGAAAAGTGTATATGTAATGTGGGATACGCTCCAGTAAATTATTCATGGCTCAATATTAGGCTGCTAGAGTCTTTGACCCCAAATTAATTTCAGTGATGACAAGTGATAATATGCTATTTTCATACATAAACTGCTAATATCCAGTATTTGTCAAAAGGAGGCAACTGTTGTCTCTCATAATCTAATACCCACTTTCCAATGGTGTCTGTAAATAGTAACAAATTCTGAACCATAAGTTATAGAAATTAGTCACAAGAGTGCAAAAAGTCCCTGGAGAAAAGTAGTCCACCTAACAATTACAAATATAAGGAAACACTTTACGAAGTTTCATTACTATGAAGATGATTTCCTCTTTGTTCAAACTTTGCACAAATGAAGAATTTTTCTTTACTGCAGGAAACAAGCTGTAAGTAACAGTGCATTTTTAGGCATAAATAAGTATTTATGTCTGCTTCCAGTATGGTCAGGTTAATACATAAACACTTTAGAAACACAGAAGTTCACGTTAGTGGAAAAATCCAAGTTTCTCACGTAACCATTCTTCAGTTAGATCTTCAGTATTCCTTATTTCAAAGACCTTAAGAAGAAAAACTTAGGTCACACTCTGACACTCTTTAAAAAAAAAAAAGCAAACACATTCTATATTTGAGTGCTAAATACCAAATCCTGAGTACAGTACCTAATTCAAACCGGGCATGAATTAACCTATGTTAATTAGATATACCATTCAGGTAGTACCTTACTTCTTTAAATGCTAACTGCTTACCAAGTATAGCAGTTAAGATGGCGTTAAAATCAAAACTCTCTCAAAACCACACTCTACAAATATTCTCAAAGAGCAGTTCTGTAAATCTGACCTACAGAAGAGATGCCTCAGAATACACAACGAAAATAAAACTAGCTAAGGACTGGGGCAACACATGCGGCTGGTCCTCCAGGGTTTGAGTGTCAAGAATGGAGGTATCAGATGTACAGACTGTTTTAATAAGGATGGAACAAAGTCCACAGTCACAAATCTCCAGCAATAACTGAATAAACACAGGTCCAGAAAGCATAATGGCTATAGAGAGACAATATATTATAGCAAAAAGAATGGGATTCAGGACCAGATGTGAGTTTAAATCCTAGCTCTTTCATTTACTATTAGCAACTTGGTAAAGTTATGCATCCCCTGACCCTGTATTCCTATCTACAGAACTGGAATACCACCAACCTCACAGGCCATTTTAAGGTTCAGTGGGATTATTTGTAAAAGTAACGTGCAATGTCTCTACTCCAGCAGTTTAGGGCATTAGTATAGACCTGAGGCTGATTGACAGAGCTCCTTCTTACCACCTAACCCCTTGAAGCAACTCCAGAGTATTCTTATGGCATAAATTAGAAAAAAATAATGTCTTTAGAAGTGTTAACAGTGACAAACATATGGGCTAAAGGAGAAAAGCAGAGGGCACTTAAAGACATATCCTAAGCTGATGATTAAGCACCCAAGAGGAAAACAATGCTATTCTTAAAATGAAACCAGAAAAAAACCATTGTTTAACCCTTTGTATGCAGACGCCCCCTCTGAGGGGACACCATAAATCTAGCTGACCACTCTGATGTCCCCTCTCAGGAGACATAAAGAGATTGTTCATTTTACATTATACAGGACAAATTTATACAAGTGCCAATTTTTCAAAAATGTATGTTTCCTTGAAGTTTTCCATTCAAATTACATGAAAAAGCAAATAAAGAGATGGAATATATACTGAAATATATGTAAATATACATATAAAAATATATATATATATACCAGCTGGCATTAATGTAGAAAGAGAATGTGTGAAGTGTGTGCATGGTGATGTACAGAATGAATAATAAATTACGTATTTATTGAGGAAGAAAATGAGACTGAATTGTCTATGTGAATAGAAAAACACCAGGTGGAAAATGTCAAACCAATTACTATTGCACAACATGTATCAATGAACCTGCAATGCAAGTCAGTGACTTGTTTCACTTTAAAAAAAATATAAGATATAAAATCTTGATTTTTTGGTCATAAGTAGTTCCTCAATGTCCAAAATTCCATTATAGGCCGCATATAATTACAATAAAATAGTTGGTTCCAACGCTATGCTATTTAATGTGAACTGATTTGTTTTTCACTATTTTACAAAAAAAAGTGCTGTCGAGTTGCTGGTAGGTGACCCGTGAGATGTCTCCGAGTGAAAAGGGCTAACAGTTTTAGTAATAGTCTAGTTCAAAATTTTAAATGTCTATACTTTTTCAACTCAAGCTAATAAGCAGAAGTTACATAAAGTCTGAAAGCAAGGCTCTCTCTTACTTCAAATATTAGGGACATTTTAAATCTTAAAGCAAATGTCTCATATAAAATAGAATGCTCTAGCTTTATTAATATTTATTATTAACAATTTAATTTTATATTTGGAAACATACAATTAACTGCATAATATAGAATTCCAGTACAGAACTTGGTTCATTTTAGACTTTGGTAAAGGACTCAGATAAGCTTCATTGCAGACCTTTATCTATTAGAAATTACATTTAGGAAGATACAGATGTAATAGTGACTTTTCTAAAGCTGCCTATGTTTTGAATCTGATTTCTCTTAATCAATTTATCATTCAAAAAAAAATCACTTTGTGTCATTCAATTCCAACTAATAAAAAACTTTGGGTAATCTACTTCTCTGGCTAAATATCCTTCACCCACATATAAAATACTTACCCATTCAGACTATTTTAGCTATTGTTCTATACTCTAAGGGAAAACACTGTCTCAAGAAGGAAGTCAAATATAAATACCACCTTGGTTAGTTCAGCTGTTTGAACTAGCTTATTCTTACTCCCAGCATACATCATCTGTTGTTCAGGCTTACATCCTAGAAAAGAAAGATTCACGTAGAAATGAGATACAGATTTTGAAAAAGTGATGGATTGTCATTGTTTTTATTTTTTAAAATGACATATTTAAGATTTCCTTTGCTACTGAGTTTACAAAATGTATTTGGGTTGTATTTTGAGTCTTGTAAGACTCAAAAAACATAGCTAAATTATAAATTTTAAAAAATTAAACAAAACGTCTACACAAAGAAACACAGCTAAATTATAAATTTTAAAAAATTAAACAAAACAAAATGATTTTAGACCTCTGTAGATCCCGACTTTTTTTTGAGTTGGAGTCTCACTGTCGCCCAGGTTGGAAAGCTTGTGGCACACTCAAGACCACCCCAGAGCGACCTGCAAGGCTCCTGTGATCCCTCCACCTCAGCCTTCCAAGTAGCCGGAACTACAAGCACGTGCTACCATGCCCGGCTAATTTTTTTTTTTTTTGTAGAGACGAGGTCTTGCCAAGTTGCCCGGGCTGGTCTCAAAGCCGCAGGCTCAGGCAATCCACTCACCTTGGCCTCCCAAAGTGCTGGGATTACAGGCTAAGCCAACCAAGCCCGGCCAGATCCTCACTTTTAAAGCCTTGCAAACACTTAAAAACTCTTCAAGCACTATCTTAATTTTGACTAAATACCAAGATTACTTTTAGATGCCTAAAACATATAAGGTTTTGGGATGGTGGTAGGTCAATGCGGTAGAGAGATCTGCTCCGAATAAAAGTCACATTATGCTTACATAAATGAAAAATATACTGTAACACTTACGTGTTAGATAAATGATAAAAGTTTAGACAAGAGTCCAGAGAGCAGTCTTTATTGTGGGCTTGAACAGTGGTGGCCGTAGGAGTTCTAGTGATAATGAATTCCTTAAAAATAAAGTACCCTCCCGCGCCTTTGGGAGGCTGAGGTGAGTGGATTGCCTGAGCCCGCGGGTTCGAGACCCGCCTGGGCAGCGAGACCTCATCTCTACAATAAATAAAAAAAATCAGCCGGGCGTGGTAGCGCATGCCTGTAATTCCGGCTACTTGGAAGGCTGAGGCGGAAGGATCGCCGGAGCCCAGCAGGCGAGGCTGCGGTGGCCGGGAGCAGCCACTGCATTCCAGTCTGGGCGACAGAGTGAGACTCTAACTCCAAAAATAAAATAAAATAAAATTCAATTTAAAAATTAGCCATGCATGGTGGTGTGGGCCTGTAGTCCTGGTTGCTCGGGGGGCTGAAGCAGGAGGATTGCTTGAGCCCAGGAATTCAAGGCTGCGGTGAGCTACGATTGTGCCACTGCACTCCAGCCTGGGTGACAGAGTAAGACCCTGACTCAAACAATAAAACAAAATAAAATTATAATCCTGGTCAAGTTACTGATACTCTATCATGGTTGTTTCTCTAAGAAACAAACAAGTTCCATTTGTAATTCCTTACAAGCGTTTAAAGAAAACGGAACTGTTACATTTAACACCAAGTTAATATAATCAAATAGGGTGGGGTTCTGTCCCAGGACAGTCTCACCTGTTACTCATAAGGTCCCACTTCTCCATGTTAAATTTTGGATTTCTAGTCTATTTAGAAAATCTTTTTTATTTTATTTATTTATTTTACTTTATTTTATTTATGTATTTATTTTTTTGAGTTGGAGTCTCACTCTGTCTCCCAGACTGGAGTGCAGTGGCCGCTCC